TCGTTTCTTTCGATCTGTATTGTAGACCTTAATAGCACGTAAAGATCAAATACCAGGAACACTAACGTTATAAAAAAATAGTGGGGGGAAAAAAATGAACGAAGAAAGCGTCGATCCCGCGTCCCATGTTCTCGCTGGTTGACAAATTATCGCGGACACTGGAGACATCGATCGTGATCCGCCCGGAGGACGGAATCATTACGATCGATTCTGGCTTCCTGTGATTTCGACTTCTCCCTCGACTCTTTTTCCTCCTCGTCCTTTCTACGATGTTCGCAAAAACTGGTTCCGCGGCGGTCGCGCCGATTGACTTTCAAATCGGAATTCCTTAATCCGAGGGCTATCGATCGGACGGTACAAGTCGAGCTAAATCGTGAACGCGCGGAAGGTCTTCGCCGCGGTTCTTTTGCATAATCGCTACACCCACGCTCTGTTGCCCGTTGTTATCCGACTCACGGCGGTTCTCGCGGCCCAGCAACATCGGCGAATGGATCCGCGCGATCGAAACACGATCGCGAGCGACGCGTGCGCGTCAATTTACGCGTGGCGGAGTTTAAACCAGCATTCCGAGCCACCGTGATCGCGCAAAAACGACCAACGTCCGCTTAACTTTTTACCCAGCTAACCGCGCGTGTACGCGACACACGATGCGGTTGAACAAGCCGTGCGACGAACTTGGAAATGGTACCGATCGTGTCGTTCTAATCGACTTACAAATTACCTTGGAACAACAGTCGTTTAACGGTGCACAAGATTCGGCAACTTCTTCCAAGTAGCGGCGTTAATTCGACTGTTTTTTATCGACTACTCAGGGATTCGAATAATCCCACGACTCTTGTTCGCTCCAGAATCGAGCAAAACATCTTCGACGCTGGTAATGGTAATAGGACGTGGGCACGAGATTGGTTGATCGTTTCGCGCGGACGTTAATCGTCAACGGACGTGTGCAACGTATGCAAACGACGGCCGAACGAATCGGTTACCACGAAGCTTACGTGTCGATTAACTAGTACGCGAACCGATATATCGCGCGAGACGTTGATAAACGCCGTGACGATTCGAAAATATTCGCAACGTTAGGTACGGTCGATGGTGAACGATTTTTCTCCCGGTGTGTTTGTCAGGGAAACGCTCGCGAGAAAAGTTTCACGCTCGAACGCTTTCGTTGAACAAATTAAATACGCGGTCACCGTCCACTGAACGCGAAAACAATCTCATCGAAAACGTCTACTTAACGGTTATCGCGGGCAGAGTCGCTCCGAGCGATTCGAATCTGTAACTGGTTCGAAACGGGTCGACCGGTGCCCGAACTCGCGGTGAGGATGATTTATGCGGCGTTATCGGGGAACAACTAACATTACGCGCACCCTGTCATCGGGAGAATAAATTGAGACACCATCGCCAACCGAACGATATCGCTGAAACCATCGTCGACGTTCGAAATGACTCTGTTCAAATAATTCCTCTTTGAGGCTACCAAGAAGATTCCAAGATCGTGCATACGTTAAAACGAACGCCAAAGTTTAAAAATAAAGCGCCAAAGGACCAGACTCGATCGATGGATCTAAACTCGAGAACCCTGACGAGACATCGCGATTACGTAACACTTGTAGCTACCTTCCGACGGAAGTACCTACGTATTTACTCGAGCACCTAGGTGGCGAGCCCGGTTCGCTAATTCCCGTGTAATCTTCTCGCACAGCCTCTCGACGCAGCCTTTCAGCGATAAAGATCTCGATCGAATGCAGGAACGCCCACCAGTAATCGCATGCAAATCGGCCTTAGCGCTTACGCACGTGCCCGTGAAAAACCGCTCGACGCGAGCACCCGAGCACGGAATTTACCAACGAGACCGTTTCCAACGTGACAACGTCCAACGATGCGCGATGGAACGATAGATCGGTGAAAGTGCTTTCATAAATTCTTTCGCCGGTCTCTGATTCTACTTCCTCCGCGATCCGAACGCGGATTCGCCCCCTGCGGTGTTCTTCCTACAGCATGGAAACGTTTCGAAATTCTCTTGCCAGTTTTTTCAAGACGCATAGGTCGCAGCTGCAAAGATTTATCGGTTCCACGCGCGTTGTACCGGTCGTTCGATCTAGATTTCGTAGCGATCGTAACATACGTCTAGCTTTATTGCATATTTTCTATACGATTCTCCGTGCTTGTAATTCGCACCGTGTTCCATGCACCGGTTCGTTGGACTTTGCAAAAACGTTTGACACGATCGATCGCGATACGAGTACAGAGTTTTGGAGGGTGTTTACAGAGCCGGGTGTAACAGTCCATTACGTTGCGAAAGTTGTCTGCCGAGGAACAAATACGGCTTGCAAGGTTGCAATTCGCGATACTGGTATACGTATCTACTGGATGGAAAAGATCTCCTCGAAGAAGATACATAACGATTCTCTATACACCTGACTGGTAACGTTTTACGAATCGAATTGCCTCTTATCGGTGCAGCGATGCAAAGATCGGCTTTTGTTATCGCGACCAAACGATGAAACGTTGACACAAACTCGTAAAAAAATCTGATAAAGCCCTTTGTGCGAGAATCTGCTCTCAAGTATTTGTACACGTAGGTATCGGGTAACCAGAGAGTATCGCGAAGAATACACAAACAGAGTCGCGGCGAGGCGAACGGAATTTCTCTCGGACAATCTGCCAGAACGTTCGCCTCCGTTCAGCTTACGCTAGCCTCAAGGGATTAATTACAGTATAACGGTTCGAGAGGAGCTCGATCGGCTGCTCGAACCCTACGATCCACCCATACGTATCTCGTCAATCGTCGAAAAAATGCACGCGTTTCGTCGAAACTTTTCTCACGATCTAATATGCGTAGTTGGTCTTATCTAACCGCGAATATTATCGTTGCGTTCGCAAAGGCGATTTGCGGAATGCGTGGAACGCCCTCAAACTTCTTGGAAACGCGAAGCGTGAAAAAAATATGGAAAAAGTCGTGGAAAGACGTACGGCGTGGTAAGATAACACCACGGGACACTGTGGGTGGTCGCGTTTCGCGTCTCTGCGCCAGCAATTTTTCGCGATTACGTACCATGGAAAGAAACAACGTTCGAGACAGGTTTATACGTACACGGTACAGTTTGGTAGCAACGGCAGAAACGACAGGGGTAAAACGCAGGGCTCGATCGGGGGACACGATTTCCACCTTACTCCGATTCGAGGAGGACAAGATTCTTCGAGAAATCTACTCTAGGTACGCCATTGCGGCATCAAATTTACGACCACTATCTCTCGAGCAGGTTATTCGTCAGGGACGATCGCGAATCTCAATCCTGGCTTACTCCGTCTTGATAGAGTGCACCGGCCGGCGCGTCGCAGTTCGTATTACACGCAAAGATCCGGTAAGATCCAGCAAGATCCTGGCGCTTTGTCAACGAGCAAAAAACAACCGCGTTGCTTCAAAGAGCAATTTGTCCAACCCGTTTGTTCGTTGTTCCTAAAGCGGGGATCGTTCCCTGCTACGGTCGTCGACTGTCCGTTTACGTCCTTCGGGGAAGATAATCGATTCGTTCCTCTAAATTCATCGATTCGCGATCCCAACCTCCGCTTTTGATGGACGATCCTCGAATCGCATTAAAACTTTTCAAACCTCGAAATTCTTTCCCCGTGTGGAAATAACGACGCAAAGCTGAACTAGAATTTATTAAGAAAAGGCGTGACGCGTTGCGATAGCCATGAAAAATCCATGCAACAAAGACGGAACGACCTTAACGATCTCGACGACAGGATGTCGAGATTAGTTTTCCAACCGATTATCGATTGCACAAGCGATACGTATCTCGGAGTGTATGTACGTCTGTCGTTGCTTCTCCCTCGACCTTTGATCTATCGATCGAGGTTGAAGCAATACCGTAATCACCGCGCCCACCCGTACAACGGATCTCTTTGGTAAAAGTGATCGTGCGGGAGAGAGACTGATTGTACCGGTACCTTTAAACTCCACGTTCGTGACATTTCGTTCCGCTAGCCCACTGTCATCGATCTCTCGGCCACGATCACAGGCTACGACCTACTAAAGCGATCAATTACGCGCACGCAATTGCTCTTCGATCCGCGATCCACGCGCACGACCAATTACTAGCGTCTCTCCCGTTCCGCGTCCGAAACGCGGGTTAATCTATATTCCCCGTGGACTCGACCGTTTTCTCCACGATTTACGAGCTTTCTATATTACTGTTCTCCGTGAAACGAATATACCCGATTCCTCCATCGGGAACGAAACCCGCCGTCGATTAGTAATGCGTAAAGTAAGCTTATCGGGGAATTAGCGAATTCCGTGCGCGTCGCTTCTAGTTTCTAGTTTCTAGCCAGGAGCAATTAGTGCTAACGAAATGCGTCGTCTTCCGCGTTTTACGCTTTCAGAAACCTTTCAAACGGCTATTATTTTACTTTACCGGTCACTATTTATACCTACGTGTACATTCTCCCGTCCAACCTATTCTTTTCTATTATTTCCGTCTCTTTTGTCGGTTGATCCACTTTTCTATTTATACGTATCGGCGAGTTTCGCGCGATCCTTTGTACGGTTGGGCGCGATTAAAAAAAAAAGCATTGCCCCGTTATTGGTGGATTTGGTTTACGAACGAGGCAGACTGAATCCGTGGAATCTAAGCGAACGATGTCTGGAAATCGGCCTGGTAAAAATAGTAACCGGAGTAATTAGCGTCGATTGGAGGAGTTTGTACGCGTGGCCCGACGATACGGCTAACCCCCGGTTCGTTCGACGATCGTGTCGGCCAGTAAGCCGGCCACTTTAGAGATGCCAGCCGGTCAGCCGGCCAGCCGGCTAAGGTTAATTGAACTCGATTAAAACTGAAACGATACGAGGCGATCGGCGCTGCTTTTTCAAACCGGACCGCGCGATTTTCCCTACGCGATACGCTTGGAATCGAAGGGAACCACGATCAACGAAGGGAAGCGGTTTTTATTGTCCCCCTCGAAGAATAACGATCGGTTCTTGGATTCTTTTATTGCAGACGACGAACGTGGGCGGCAGTAGCGTCGTGGAGAAGCTATCGTTCTACAACCACACGGAATGCGAGTGCAGAGAGAGGACGGAGTACGACGCGGCCAACGAGAAACCCTCCGAGCAGAGAGTTTACAGGCATTATCAGACCTCCCCGCAACCTCAGAACATGAGAAGGGCACAATCGAGGAAACCGTGAGTTTACCATACCACGTGGTAGCCAAAGTGATCGACCTATCTTATTGTTTGTTTAATTTGAAATCGATCAGGTGCCGATGTCCATCGGAATTCACGCCACGGATCACGCCGGAGGGCGAGTGCCAGTGCAACTGTTACGAGACTCATCAGAACTGCATAAAGATCAGACGAGGAAAGGGATACTTCTCCCTTGCCGATAGACTGTGAGTACAATATTAAAAATCGCATTTCTATCCGTGGCTGGAATTCTATATCGCGAAGCTAACGTTTCTCGAATTCGCAGATGCATCCAGAACGAGGAGTGCGCGGCGCCTAGCTGCGAGTTTGGCGAGTACATGAGGCGACAGGGTAAATGTCCCCGGAAGAAAGACAAGTACGACGCGATCGTCAACTACCACACAAATCTGAGCCACCGGTACAGAAGCTAGAGAAACGAAACGGAGACGACGAACAAGCTGGAGGAGAAGTCAGAAGCGCGGGAAACCGCGCGGCGAACATTCGATGGTGCCATTTACTTCCCGAGTGCCTTTTTACCAGAGACTCGTTATATCTACAATGTATATGTATACCCCCACGAACCAGTTATGTATAGATGTATCCTGCCACTTTGAGCGTCGACCTCACGACTATACTCCGCTCTCCTTTCTTACTATTATTATTCTCTTTGTTTTTTTTTTTTTTTTTTATACTATTGTTACCGACGACGATCGTAACACGATGGTAACGTCCGTCGAGAGGCTCGCGAATCGCGGTTATAGGATTCGGCCAGCGGGCTTTCGCGACGCTTGCTAGACCTTTAGAGTGCCCTAGCAACGTTTCTGTCGCGCCAACGACTATTTCGATGACCGGTACACGTCTAGTCCGAGATCCTGCCTCCGTTGGTTCGCGAGACGGAAACTTTTCTTACCGCGGGTTTCACGAAATCGCCGGACGCCGTGCTTTAAACTGTACAAAGGGAGGGATGTGTTTTGCGCAGTGGTGCCACCCGTCAGCGACTTCGAGGGTCGTATACACCAAAGCGAGTTAACCGCGAACAACGAAAAGTAATTTGCGCACGATTACAAGAGTCGGTACGTGGATGTTTAACTTTTTTACGCATTGCGATCGAACAATCGCGGCTGTTTGTGCTTCGCCATCCAACACGGGGATCCCCGATCTCATTATCGCCATTCGTCTTCTGTCTCTGTCGATAGAAAATCGGAAGAAATGTTTTCGGATATTTTTTTTCTTAACTTTCGAACGAGAACCATCAGGCGTTACTTCGTTCCTACCGAACAACGAACCGAATAATGTGCAGAATTAAATGTACCAATTACTGTGGCAGTAAGCTTTAGTTACACTTTATTTCGCTATATACTTTCATTTATTAGAAGAGAATTATTGTTTGGTAAAGTTTTGTGCGTGTTCTCTGTATCATGACTGAAACGTGTGTGTACCATTTATTGCACACGATACTGCGTGGATATAGGTTTTGTGTATAGAACCGGTTAGAAAACAATTAAACAAATATACGTGCCTATTATACATGTAAACTTATTGAAGAAAAATAGAATTTCTGCGGTAATGGGTACATTTACTCTATCTCGAGAGAAAATTGAGCGTAAAGAAGAAAATTTATTACTTTCTCGATGGCTCTAGCACAGGATGATCCACGTCCATCTGTACAGACTATTAACGACGAATCTAAAGAAGCTATCCAAGTATACGAGAGAAGAGGAAAAGGATGAAAATGTACCTACTCGTGACTCGACTGGTCATTCGTCCCCCTAGCGGCCTCTGTCTCTCTCTATCTCTCTCTCGATCTACACTAAACGTGATTTCTACGCTTTTATAAACATTATTATAATATGTACGTACGTAGTAGTCGACGTGATCGCGAAACCGATAAGCGATCCAGCATTTATGAGCCAATAAAAACTCCGTGTACGATTCGTGTGTATATCGATTTCACTTTCAAATGTTTTTCTTTCAAAGCATAATCGTTCGTACGCGTGGTCAGAGGTTTTCGCGGTTCGATCTATACACGGTCGCATACGGTTAAATTAAGCGTGGCCAAACGATTTCTCACGCCGAATATTCTATCGCTTCGTTTATCGCGAGAATATGCGAACGTCTTTCGACGTTCGGCTTGATGCTAAACTAGCTACCAACTTTAGGCAACATACATAGATATACGTAGGCAGCAAATCAAGCAGGAAAATTGTATAAAGAAATTCATGATTATCGTTTCAATAAAATCCCAACTTATGTTTAAAATGGGGCTCGATTATTTCTTTAACCACACCGTCATGATGTTCCCGACTCTTATACCACAGGATACGAGTAGACCTTACACCTTATGGACATTCGCGGCCGAATCTGACTGCGATACCGACCTGAAAATTCGGAGGCGATTTTAGCGACCTCATCTCATGGATGGTGGTCAGTTGAGAAACTATTCACTGAATTATCATATACCTCGTCTGTGCTTTCACCTAATGTATTTTTTCGGCCCGTTTCTCTGGGGTCCCGTGACCCCATTACCATTTTCATGTCACTCGCAACGTTATCAACAGATTTAGAAATTACCACAAGAGGAAGTGAGACAGAATATAAAATTACATAAATTTTATTATTTTTGAACGGAATGAAAGCTGTATGGTCCAAAATTGAGCATCGATCGATTAATTTCATTGGAATAACCAATCGATTGAGATTATTTAAAGATTTCAAAATTATTAAAATACGTAAGGATCTCATTGATAAATACACCGCAAATCCTCTATTTTTTGTTTTAAATTGTAATATATTATTTATTTAAAAACTAACTCGGCAAAAACGTATTTGCGACTCGAAATCAGTGTTATTAGACCGCATACCAGGACGAAGAAGGTATGTGGAACTATAAGAAGAACGCAGCCATTAGCTCATATTATTTGCTATGTAATTAATAATTATATTAATTACATAGTAAATAATAATCCCCAGGTCTCACCTCGTGGAGGTTGCTGCGACTGGAGACCCACCCTAGCCTCGCCCCAACCACCCTTCCTTTGGCGAGGAATTCGAATACCTATCCAAGGGAGAAGCTATCGAAAAGTTAGAAACGAGCTAGAAAAGGAGAGTTCTTAAAAGAACTGCCCAATCAAGAGATGAAGAACCTAACAAAATGGCAATACATGTGAGATGATACACATGTTTTCTAAAAACGAAATTGAAATGTGCAACTGCACCTACGAACTCTGATGAAGAGATCGAAAACCTAACAAAATGTTGATACATGTGAGACAATCCAGCACATGTTTTCTAGAAACGAAATTGGAATGTGCAACTGCACGTATGAATCCTGATTACTAAAGTAACAATATGTACTTTATTATTAATTGTTCCTTCTTAAATAAATACTTGCATTATGACCGTGCCTAACAAGACACTCGTACAAAACGAAGAAAGGATCCTGAAGATCCAATCAGAAATGTGCAACTGCACGTATGGACCTTGCATATTAGAATACTAATATGTATCTTAATATTAATCATTCCCACTTAAATTTATGCACACGTTTCGGTAATATTTAATAAACCGCAGGAGAACGCTTTTTTATCTTATAATCTATATACATTTGTACTTATATTCTAACGCAATCTGTAGAAACATGAAGAAATATGAGGAAATATTTTCTTCTCGGTGTCTTCGACAATCCCACGATGTTTCCCTGAAACATAAACTCATATCCAATAAATATAACTCATATAAAACAGAGAAACATGAAAAGATATTTTCTTCTTGGTGTCTTGATTAATCCCACGATGTTTCCCTGAAACATAAATCAGATAATAAATAAAATTGTATGAAATATTTCTCTAAGAGCGATCAAGATGGAATCCGTGTACCATTTCCAATTACATTCTTCGATGATTATATATTCTGTAACAAGAACTTGTTCAAAGGATTAAAAGCTGAAATGAAAATGTATTAATGGACACAGAAAAAAATAATTATGTACCGTCACGATAGACTCATGGTAATCGATCATAGTAAAAGTGATATGAAATTAATATTTTTTAAAAGTTGAAAAACATAAATATTACGTGAAAATGAATGCAAAGTTAAATTCGTCTCAGTGTTAAGATAAATAAGAAATAGATTGAAAATTTTATTCATTTGTTACCGTAGATTTTATTTTTCAAGAAAAAAATTTTCAAGACGTATACATTGCAATAATTATATTTTACTGTATTCAAAACTAAATTACGTTCATACAGAAAAAGCAATAACAAACGAAAATGTCGATTCTACGCGGAAATTAATTCTCAATATGAAATATCGAATTGCAATTTGCTTATCCTTTTGATGCAAGCATTCTATTTTCCATCAATTAAAACAATGATCGCGAACAAACTTTGATTTATGCAAAGAATACAGAATATTTATAAAAAATTCGCTATTTATAAATAACAATTGGATTGCAAACGTTATTATATCCCGTAAAAATTACCAACTCTAAGAATGAATAATTAGTGATATAGATATCTATATAGCAATCATAAATTCAATCTACAATAAAATTAATCATAATATAGAATTTTTAAATGCATCACAAATCTGTGATGAAAATACATTCCCATATATTACAGATTTTAACACGTTATGAAGAATAAAACAATTGGTCTATTCGCAACAGTACTTCAAAGCAGTATTTCTTTTGAGAATAAACTCATAATTGGAATAAACGTCCACTCGTTTTAAATTCAAACAACCCGTGAGTGGACCATTCTTTCTTTCGCAACGCTAATTTATACAATAAAAAACTATACGCGAATGGTGCTTGTTATTCGTAAAATGAACCACGCAGGGTTCCTTTATTAATTAAATCGCGTGCACCCATATTCAATCATGCGCAACACTAATTTTAATAATGACGTTGAGCCATTCGAGGCTTTGCAGAATCCCAGCTTGCTTCTCGATGATCCTGTTGCAGTGGGCAGCGTTTTGGCCAGCTTTTGGGCATTGAATCGCAACTCTAATTAATAAAAAACGCGACAAGTCAAGATCGCAACGCTAATTTATAATATAAAAATTCCAAACGCGATTTATAACAATAAAAGCAACCGCGAATAGTGATTACTCGCAACACTACCCTGAAAAGTAAACGCGAAAAATATTAATTCGCAACGCTATGAGCAAACCGATCAGTTAATTCGCAATGCTATTCTTAAATAACAATAAAAGCAATCGCGTATGGAGTTCGCAACGCTACCCTGAAAAGGAAACGCGAAAAATAGGAATTCGCAACTCTACAAGTAAAACGTGATTATTGTATATTCGCAACTCTATCTTTAATGGAAATACATTTATGTTTCGCAACGCTAATGCAAATCGCGTTGCCCAAAAACGCTGGATCAGGTGCTGGCGTCTTCGGTTGTAACTATAAACATACATGCTCAAAATAATCTAACTACATCAAGCTACTTCAAACTACAATAGAGTGGCACATATGGGGATAAAGTTAGACGTTTTAAATATCGCAACACTACGGGACAACAACGCGATAAATCAACAATCGCAACGCTAACTTATAATAGAAAAATTACAAACGCGATTTATAAGAATAAAAGCAACCGCGAATGGTAATTATTCGCAACACTACCCTGGAAAGCAACGCGAAAAATAGTAATTCGCTACTCTAACAGCAATCGCGTTTACTAATAATTCGAAACGCTATTTTTAAAGCAAACGCCCGGTTCCTAGGTTTGCATAAAGACAATCGCGAATCGTATTTATTCGCAACACTAATATATCAACGCGATAAATATTTGTTCGCAACTCTACGAGCAAACGCGAACATTGTATATTATTCGCAACTCTAACTTTAATCAGGGGCTATTGGTACATGTACATAGACATGTACTGGCCACAAAATAAACTAACTACTGCTAGTACTACAATTGGGGTAGAAGTTGGGCATTGAAAATATCGCAACGCTAAATAAAAAATCGCACGATTAATCAAGATCGCAACGCTAATTTATAGTATGAAAATTGCAAACGCGGTTGATGTCCATTATATGTATAAAAGAGTAAAAAACAACGCGAATCGTAATTATTCGCAACACTACCCTGAAAAGCAAACGCGAAAAATAGTATTTCGCAACTCTACGAGCAATCGCGTTTATCAATAATTCGCAACGCTATTTTTAAGCAAACATTCGGTACCTAAGTTTGCAAAAAACCAATCGCGTATCGTGTCAAGGCGCAACACTACCCTGAAAAGGAAACGCGAAAAACAGTGATTCGCAACTCTACAAGCAAACGCGATTATTGCATATTCGCAACTCTATGTATAATATATCATAACCGCGAGTTATGGGGAGGGATGGCTGGCATGTATGGTGCAATCATGTACCATCAGGTACATGCATACGTGAGCCAGTCAGAAAAATAAACTAACTACAACTACAGACGAGTTAAGTGACAAAGTAGTAACAGGAATGACTTTCCATTCTCATCCGAGGATGAAGATGAAAAGACATTTGTTGCAGCCCACTCTTGAGACAGTTTGTCAGGGCCTCTTCAGCTCATCGAGAGCCTTTTCTTTCTTCGGCGGTCCTGCCGATGCCTGAAACTTACGAAAGACTGGGCTCGAGATTTTGTGCAATACGTAGTCTTCCAACAATATACGAATTGTTGCAAGAGCATACGTGGTGAATCTCGAGGGGGACGAACGTTTCGAAAGGGACCTAATCACGACCGCGAGCGCGAGAGAGCGACTTTAAGAGTCGCGCGATTCGAGGAGTCGAAAATAAAGCCGAAACAAACAGCACAAGTGCACCGTTTGAATCAGCAAGATTTCTACTCTCGAAATCGTAACTACAGGAACAGAACTGCCACGCGAAAACGCGCCTACCCGAATTACTAATGTGGACAGTCCTGCCCTGACCCTACCTACTTAGGTTTAAACACACACACCAGAGAATAAGTTACCTACCTACCTAACCCTATATTTAAAAAAATGCAAAACTCAGTTTCTCAAACAAACACTCCACGGTTCTCATTCTCAATGTCCGGGCGCGACCTAAACTAGAGAGGACTCCCCGGGGTTCCTCCGACACCCGGACACAACCTCATTCATACTCTAATTGTGTACGTACCAGTTTTTGCAGTGGACTGACAAAGCTAGTGCCCATTGCGTACTTTTATTATTTATGTAAAACATTTTAATATATCTGATATAGTTTTCATTAAAATATACTCTATATA